TGTATAATAACTCATTGAACATGTATGGGTGAACATGTCCCACTCAAACTGCAGGCCTCCACTGCAGGGCAAGTGCCATCACCCACCACAATCCCTCATTGCTCCCATTCTTTTTGTGGATTAAAAGCTCCTCACGAGCATCTGTGAATCAGCCAGGTATTATAGCTCAAGTAATCCTGCACACCCACAGCAATAAGTATAAACAGTGAGTTCTTCATGTAAAAGTAGCTCCTCCTCCCACCCCCATCCCAAGCAGCAAACTTCCCAAGGCCACGAATTCCACTGAAATCAGCCAGGATTCCACACTGAATAACCAGATTCCTTCCCTGGGATCTGGCTGCCAGCATTTTCAATCACAAAGCCAACAACACAGCAGGAACACCACACTAAATTTGGCCTGCACACTGGCTGGTAGCATCCTGCACTCCTGCCCAGTGTCCCAAAGAGGCTCCAGCCTCTCCAAAAACTCCAGTTAGAGCCAAATTATTCAGTGCTACACCTTCCTGTGTCTGTGGCAGATGCAGCCACAGTTTGGGTGGGGATGGAGAACAATGCAGCAGCAACTCCTTGTCCAGCAGCCAGCAGGACAGAACAACTCTGGGGGTGGTTCCTGTCCCTTGAGCTCTGTGCCCCTGGTGTCACAATATTACAAAAGTATGTAAATGCCATGGGTTTATGGCATAAAAACCCCGAGGTCGACAACAAAGCACATCCTTGTGGGAAATGGTGGAATTCGTGAGCAGCCTGATGTCCACAGCAGGATGGAGCTGAAAGGTTTATAAAGCAGCATGAGCTGCTGGAGTTCCTTACCTGCTTCTCAGACATGATGTAGAGGTGTTCATGGTCCATGGAGAAGGCCATGTCCCGGAGGATGGGGCCAGTGTCCACCACCTGCACAATCTCGTACTCCAGTGTGTTCTTGGTGGTGCCATCCACACGGATCTGTGCAGCAACAGCAAGAGACAGGCACAACATGAGCATCTTTTCCCTCCTCCCACTGAAAACAAATAATTACAGAACACAGAATGATTTCTGTTGAAATGAACCTTAAAGATCATCGCATTCCAAACCTCCTGCCATGGGCAAGGACCGCTTCCACCATCACAGGCAGTTCCAAGCCCTGTCTAACCTGGCCTTGGGCACTGCCAGGGATCCAGGGGCAGCCACAGCTTCTCTGGGAAGCCTTCTCTCTCACTACACTCACAGTAATAAAAATCTACTGATAATATATACACAAAATTATACATATATATATGTATATATATATTGACATAAATAAAATTTATATTTATTCTAAATTTATATTTATATTCATAGGGTATATATGGTTATTTATATTTATAGTTATAGGATTTTTATATTTTGTATATTTTATATATTTATTTTTATATGTAATTATATATTATATATGGACATTATATTATATGCATGTTATATATTATCATAAATATATGTATATATGCATAGATATATAATATATATTATAATACAATATATCTAATATATATTGTATATTTATTTATATGTATATTTATTTACATATACACATATCTATCTATATACATATATATTAGATATGTGTATATATAGATATGTGTATATGTATATGAATAAATATACAATATATATTTTATAAATATACAAAATAATCACTAGATAAATGTATTGTGCTCTAGGTCTTTCAGTTAACAACCACTGTCAACAAAAAGTGAACTTTTCCCAGCCTCCCCACCAAAAGCACAGAGCAGATTTCATCACTTCTGCTGGTCCCATCAACACAAGAGCACTGTAAGAACGATGCAGATCCTGCTGGCTTTTATCTGGCACTGTCACTGTGCTCCTGTCACCGCCTGGACAAATCCACCACGCTCAAAATGATGGCAATGAGGGAAGGATCTGTGGTGGTGATGAGCAGGAGATAAAAAAACCACACAAATCTGCAGGAGTGACTCACTGGAATGCCACTCAGATAATATTATTGCTCTTATTGCTAATGTTCCAAGGGGCAATTTATTATTGCAGGGTGTTCAGTGCAACACAGACTATTTCTCTTGCTGATTGCATATATCAGGTGTTGAAATCAGTCCTGCACCAGTGCGGCACCTTATGATCCCAGACACCTCTCATAACAGGGTGTCACTTAGGGACATCAATAACTGGGATTATGAGGAGGAACCAGACAAACAGTCCCAGTCTGTCCCTGACAGTGATCCAGTGATGCAGAAGAAAATGCAGAAAATTACAGACTTTTCTTTGCCTGCTTAAAAACAATTTCTAGAGTTTGGGCTCAAAAGCAGCTGGAGAAGGTTTGCAATTCCTTTCAATATAGAACAAGTCATGATAAAATAGCTGTTCTCAGGAGTTCTCCTGAACTCCTGAAGCAGCAAACCCCACAGCCATGTTTCAGAGTTTCATGTTTCCACATGTTTCATGGAACATGTTTCATGTTTCCACATTCCTTATCTCCCTCTATTTCCCATGTGTTGCCTTTCACTTCCTGAAAATATTCTATCCTGCAGCAACACAAACACCACAGTACCTTTCCCTAAAAGAAACAAAGCTGTAGGAAATCTTCATCCTGCCCCACATTATAATCTCCATTCCTTCCTGACCAAAGATTCCCAGCCTGCAGTTGGATAGCTGAGCAAAAAGCACCCTTCCCATCCAAAGGAAAATAACAAGCTGTGGAGAACTTATGGTGTCAAGACCTGTTCCCACTATTCCCTGGCACAGTCCTTGAGCTTGCTCCTTCTGTATCAACCTCTCAGCCAAGAAACTGAGCCTGAATCATCTTCTGTATTGGAAAGTCAAAGAGAAGGGAACAGAGGGAATGATAAAGGGTCTGGGAAGTCTGTATGAGGAAAGGACAGCACTGATATACAGATTGTTATCTTTGTCCTTCCTTGATGTGCTCACCTGCTGTGGGACAACAAAGGAATATTATTTCCCCAGAAAAGATAAGGAAAATGAAGCAGAATGGATTTAGAGGGGCTCTCTGTGCCAGCAAAGGGTGTGGAGGGTGCTCAGGGATGCTCAGATCCTGCATGTTATCCATCAGACTCCCCAGAAGTGGGAGCACGTGCTGGCCTTGGCTGCTGGGCTGCCCCAATGACAGGGGAGGATTTGCAGTTAATTTGTCATCTTGATGGAGCTGCTGATGAGAGCAGCACACATCCCACATCAGCTCACACAGAGGTCAGGGCATAAAGTCCAGCACTGAGCACCCCTGATGCACCAAGGGGTCAGGGACTGAATCCCAGCACTGAACATCACTGAAACACAAAGAATTCAGGCCTGAATCCCAGCACTGAACATCCCAGAAACACAAAGAATTCAGAGCCTAAAGCCCAGCACTGAACATCTCTGAAACACAAAGAATTTGAGGTCTGAAGCCCAGGACTGAACATCCCTGACACACAAAGAATTCAGAGCCTGAAGCCCAGGAATGAACTTCCCTAAAACACAAGGAATTCACAGTCTGACATCCAGTACTGAACATCCCTGAACCACCAATGGGATCATGGCCTAAAGCCTAGCACTGAACATCCCAGAAACACAAAGAATTTTCAGGGTCTGAAGCCTGAACATCACTGAAACACAAGAATTCAGGGTCTGAAGCCCAGGGCTGAACATCCCTGACTCCCACCAGCTCTGGCTGCCTGGGAGCAGGGGGCTCACTCATTTCTGTGGTTCCTCATAGGTAAATTCAGCTCCTCTGAGTCCTTCCTTCTTGAAAACGGACCCTGATGTAAATCACCCATGAGGTCAAGGGCAAAGATGCCAAGAGGCTTGGGCTGAGTCATTCCCCTTAGGCCAGGCAGAGGAAAGGAAGGAGGCAGGAGGAGCTGCAGGCTGAGGAGCACAGGAGGCTCCCTGTTGGGGCTCTGCTCCAAGCACACCAAATACCTCCAGAGCAGGAGCCTTTCCTCTTTCCCTCTGAGGCTTTCCAGCTCCAAGTTCTCCCTCTCAGAGAGCTTTTTCTGCTGTCTCCACTCTGCCTCCCCTCAGTCCCTCGTGGCTTCTCATTCCCGTCACAGCATCCTCGCTCTCTGCTGATCCCTGTGCTAAACAAACCTCACATCTCCACTTTGACCTTGATTTTCCAGCACCACCGTGGTCAGATCTGCAGGCTGCCAGATATGTAAGCAGCCAATTATCACCCCAGGGCTCAGTCACTGTCCTCAGCCTTTGCCAGGCCCCATTAGAGGGGAAAGAGCATGGAGATGCAAGAGGCAGGCTGGAGAGGAGTTAACAAACCATGGAGACAGGAGGCACAGCCCCCAGGGATCTCCCCTGTGCATTTGATGCAGGTAAAAGATTGCAGAGGCTTCACACCAGGAATGCAGAGCTACTCGGAAGTGATTTAACAGCTATTGCTGGCCTAATAGCCTGAAAAGTCATTATTTGGCAGAGGGGGAGGGAGGGAAGGAGGGACAGGGCTCATTGTGCTGTACATGTGCAAATACACACACGTGTCACACACCCACAGCCCAACAGCTCTAAGTGCAGAAAGCACTCTCTCTATTAAATCTAATAGCTAATAAAAAGGAAAATTCAGAAAAAGGCCAAAAAATCTGTCAGACACCAACCCACGCTGCACAGCCTGTGGCAGCAGTGAGGTGATTATTGGAGACTGCAGCCACAAGAGTAGCCCTTAACTCCAACCATCCCTTTACCTGTCTTAAACACTCTTTCTTGTGTTGGACCCCAGGCACAGAGCCTTGAGGCTCTCCACCTTCCCTGCTCTTGCTCTTCACAGACAACACAACTGGATTTTCTCTTAGAGATTTATTCCTGGCTCCAAGGCTCCTGCTAGAACCAGGGCACTTGGGCTGTTGAAAAAAATCAGAGAAGAGTCTCTAAAGGAAAAATGGGAAGATTCTTATCAAACCTTGCAGGGGGTCACCACTAAAGTCAGGGAGCCAGAGACAATCTCTGCTTGGAAACACAAGTTTCCAGCTGCAGGGAATCTGAAGAACTTATCACCCATTCCCTCTGCCCCTGCTCTTCTCTGCTGGCATCAACCCCAAGTCCCACCGGAAGTTGGGGTGCTGGCATGGATGGAGTTTTCTTCTGACTGAATAATGGGCATTCCCATATTCAAGATGTTTTTTGGAGGTTGTGGGAGATGAGAACCTGGCTAAGAGCCCAGTTGGGATCGCTTCTGGGAGCTGCCTGTGAACTATGAGCTCCTTAGCAAGGAAAGGGGGAAGGGGACAATAAGTGACAGAGGGGGTTCCAGGACCACGTGTGAGTCTCAAAATGCCCAGTCCATCACAACCCACAGTTCACAAACACCTTCATCATCCACCTGCTCCCACTCCCTGAATGTCTGTCCTGGACATGCCCACCACTCACAGCCCCAGATGCTCAGCTGTCGCAGACATCTTTTATGAAAAAATCCTTTCCTTAGGATTTTTCCTCCTGAGACGCTGAAAGGCCTCAGGAACAAAATGTAAACAATTATTATCTGCTGCTGTGGAATGCAACAGGTGCATCTGTGATTGGCCCATGTTGGTTGTTTCTAATTAATGGCCAATCACAGTCAGCTGGCTCAGACTCTCTGTCCGAGATAGAAGTTTTTGTTATTCATTCTCTGTTATTCTATTCTTAGCCAGCCTTCTGATGAAATCCTTTCTTCTATCCTTTTAGTATAGTTTTAATATAATATATATCATAAAATAATAAATCAAGCCTTCTGAAACATGGAGTCAACATTCTCGTCTCTTCCCTCAACCTGAGACCCCTGTGAACACCGTCACACTCAGCTCCCTTGTCCTCCTTTAACCCAGGACATGTGGGAGGGCCCAGCACTCTCAGGCTGCACATTAATCCTTCTCTTCCTGGAAGGCTTCACTCCCTGGGTTTGGCTGCTATTAAAACATCAGCGTGATGCTTCCCGAAGGTCAACTACCAAGGGACCCATTCTGGCAGCTGTTTGT